CCACAATAGAATTTTTATATTTTATTACTAATTCATGATAAGGAAAAAAGTATTTTATTTATATAGCTTTCATCTTGCTAATATTTAGTTAAGTTAATTAGTTTCTTTCTTTAATTTCATAAATCAAAAAGTACAAAAAGAAACTAAATCAAAAATTACAAAAAGAATCGAATTTTCATTCCTATAGTTTAATCTTAAGTTTAAGTAAGAATATTTTTTGAAGTAGATCTTTGTTATCTAAAATTTTTAGTTTCCTAAAGTGCATATTGTTAATCTCCCTGTGGGTTCGATATTCAGAACTTAATCAAAAAGTCTTATATTACTTGGTAACGATAAGTATACTTGCGTAGTTCCCATATTTAAATATTATTGTATTTTTATTTGTTTCATAGTGGAAAACTTACCTAGCTTTTGCTTTGGATCAATTTTTGACTTTGTTGCAAATTAAGAATAACTATTAAGGAAATTAAGCATATAATCACATACATCACATTTTACTTCTATATAGAAAGTTGGGATCAGGTACTAAGGGTTTTTTTTCTATCTTCTTCTTTGTATTTTTCTTATATGTTTTGAGAGGTAATAGTATGAGAGAGAAGTTGATTGCTATTGAAGAGGGAACAAATCATTTTGTAAATGTTTTCTTTTCAGTTTTCCTTGCAACAACGGGTTTGGTGAGATGTTTGTCCCATATTCTTGCTATCATGTAGTTAAACTTCATCTTATGCCTTTGTGATTTATAGGATGTGTTTTGTGGTTTTCTGGGATGATTTCTTTCATTGTACCATTTTCTTAAGAAATTATCCGAGAACAGTAAGATTTATCTGTCATTGTTTTTTTGTCTTTTTGAATACATTTTTGTTTTCTCTTTCAAGTAAGATTTTAAGAAAATATCTCATGTTTGTGATCACACTAAATTAAGTTTTGAAGTTTAGTAAACTAGAGATTTGCCCTATAGAATAATTCTTAACACTTACATTGTAGGATCGATACATGATATTCTTTAACTGCATTATCACTTGACAAGTATACTTGCTTTATGCGAGCGACTTACTTGGCGGTAAGTTTTGACATGTCGCACTAGCGGTCACACGAATGATTCAAAATTGTGCTATCTGATCCCGCCCCACCAGCCCACCTTGTCCCATTGTCTCATGACCTAACCCAACTCAACCAACCCACGCTCTACCCTGACCTATGCTAACTAGCATAACATACTGCTACATAGCCTGCAATACCACCAACTCACAAAAAAGTTGAATAACCAAAATACCAATGGTTATAAATAAAACCCTCTCTTCACTTGGAGGGGGAGGAGGAGTCGAATTCCAATGTTGTTCATGACTGAATACTCAATGGTTACTTTTGACATCCTGAACCACCGATCACTGTCGACCATCACCGATCGTCTTTTGCTCACTGTCATCAACGAAATCTATTGTGTAATGACATATTCCTGACTATTATGTAATGAAGTATCCCCAAATAAGGTGTAACATATAACGCTACATTACAAATCCCACGACAACTTCTAGAGAAAATTACTTACAACTATCGTACTTAGAATACATTAACTTTTTTCAGACTCTTGAAGTTTTATGTACATTATGCACGAACAAATGCTATATTAGGCGTAATGTTGTAACCCTTCTATCCCAATTGTGAGATAAGGGTATATCATTATAGTACACACTTACAGTGAATTACTTTTACTGGGCTAAACCTTATGATTTTTTCCTTTCGGGGTTTTTCTAGGTAAATTATCCTAGTGTGTTGGATCTTTATACAACACTAAGACGTTAAATGTCATGCTATCACCCCGAATCTTCTGACGTGTAACCATAAGTATTATTCATGATAGTGAAAATCATATTTAGAAAATTCAAAACATAAAAAATGATCTCAAATATTTTAAAGAAATTATTTTTTATTTTTAAAAAATAAAAATAGGTTACAAAATAAACTAAAAGTATACATTTTCACCAATAAAAAAAAATGTTAAATAGTTCTTTAAAATATGCTAACAAGTATGCTTATTTGAGAACATATCTGCTTGTCATGTTTACCTTTGTTATCTATATACTTTATATATGATGAATGTGTAATTAAATTAATCTGATGGAATCTATGGAATTATAATTAGTGATTACACTGGTTGAAATTATATTAATCAGTTTAGAAAAGATATAACTGACAGTTCGATATACATAAAAAAAAAAATAATAATTATTATCTAGGGAAAAATAAGGACTTCCATATTCACCATTAAACCACACATTAAGAAATTTTTTTTACAGCAAATGAAACTGTTATATGTAATGTTGTACCCATATCGAAATGTTAATTATTTTAGTATGTTGGTAGGTGCTTAGAAATTTAATTAAAAAGATACGAGTTAGAGATACATGCAAAGTTTCTTAAGGAGAATTTACGTTGACATCTTACAATTTTTTTTTTTATGTTTATAATTTTATTGGATAAACTTTCATATTTACATTAACAACAATTTAATATGATTAAATATATGAGAAAAGCAATAGAGCTTCTATTTTAATTGAAGAAAGAATGATTATATATATAAAAAGACCATCCTGGATTGCCTCCCCTGGTTTGGCTTCCCTGGTTCGACCTCCTTGGTTTGACCCCCATTGTTTGGCCTCCCTGGTTCGACCTTCCTAGTTCAGCCTCCCTGGGTAGGCCACCCAGCTCCAGCCAGCCACCCAAAGCCGACGTGTTCCAATGCTTCATAATAATAAAAAGACCAAGATATCCTATACCGCCTTCCTTAAAACACGGGTATTATTGTAGTATTAATTTTCATATTGTCAAATTTTATAAATAGAGAACTCTTGACATGTATAAAAAGAATGAACTGTCTCTCTCCATCACCCTCATATTGTAATCTCATTTGTGTGGAATAAAATGGGTAACATGCCCGGGAAAACTCCACTTTGTCCCCTCCCCTGGGGCAACTCTTTCTCTTATTCTCTCATTCTCTTTCTTCTTCCCTCGAATTCCAGGACAAGAGCTTAAGGACACATGTGGGTTCAAGCGTAGATCTTGTCATCAACAATAAGATGAGTCTTCAGAGTTGGAGAGCCCAAACCAGAGAAATAAAAAGAAGAAGAAGAGGAAAAAAAAGAAATTAAGAGGAACAACACAAAAAAGTAAGTGAAAAGGCATAGGGCAAAAATAAAAAAGAGAAGGAAGAACATCTCTCACTTTCCGAGAAGACTCCTTAAGAAAGAACAAAAATATAAGCAACTTTTATTTTACCTTGTTTACTTTTCTCAAATGAAGAAAGAAATAAAAAGAGAAAAAAAATACAAAATTATTCCATCCTCTCATTTAAGACTTTCATCCGAGACGAGCAAGATAAAACTCTTCTGCAGGACGAGCAAACAAAGCCTCTCTTTCGGGATGGGCAAACAAAGACTCTCCTTTTGGATAAGCAAATAAAACTTCTCTTCCCGAACGAGCAAACAAAGACTCTCTTCCGGGACGAGCATATAAATACTCTCTTACGGGACGAGCAAACAAAACATCTCTTTCGAGACGAGCAAACAAAGCCTCTTCTTCGGGCCGAGCAAACAAAACCTCTCCTCCTATAAGAGCAAATTAGTCCACCAAACACAAAGTTTAAAGAACTTAACCAATAATAATCATCTCATCAAAGGCCAGCGGAAAGAATTATAAAAAAACTAATTCTAGCTAGTGTTTCATGAAATAATATTTTCTACACTTATGAGTTTTTCATTCTTATTATAACTTCGCATCTAGGAAGTAAATAACTCTGGAGCTTTATGTATGACCAGAAAATACCATCTTGCCGAGCTAGGATAAGCTGTCGTCAGAGTCGCGTAAGCAGGAATTTTACCCTTTTTGGTTGGCCGCCCAGTCCCTTAGGTCAGCCGCCCAGTCCCTCAGGTCGGTCTTCCTGGTTTCAGCATTTCTGGTTAGGCCTCCCTAGGTTGGCCCTCCTGCTTCGGCCATCCTAGTTCGCCCTTGGTTTGGCCTCTCTTGTTTGGCCTCCCTGGATTGGCCAACCATCTCTAGCCGACCATCAAACGTGATGTGCTCTGATGCTTCATAATGAAAAAAAAAAACAAAAATATTCTTTACCGCCTTTCTTAAAGCAAATGTATTATTGTAATATTATTTTTCATATTGTCCTTTTCTATAAATAGAGAACTCTTGACATGTGAAAAAAGGGGGGCCACCTCTTTCCATCACATTTATATTGTAATCTCATGTGTGTGGAACAAAAAGGATCAAAAAGCCTACACCCCACTTTGCGCCACTCCCACCACAACCCCAACCCAATCCACCCCCGCAGGGCTATTCTCTCTCTCTCGCTTTCTCTCATTCTTTTTCTCCTTACCTCAGATTCGACGCTTTATCCCTAGGGCACGAGCTAAAGAATAAATTGGGTTCAATATATATATATAATATATATATATATATATGGTTAACGGGCGGAAGCGACAACCCTTCAAGTCCGTGTTGGACCCATGCGCCTAACCACTCGAGTACCACCCCAAATCATAGGAGACTAACAATTGACGAAACAGATGTCTACCAACTGAACTAAGAGTGTAAACGAGCCGAAGCGTGCGAGCCCAGACTTAGCTCGTGTTTGACTAGTTACGAAATACCATCGTCATTTTCGATTCGTTTATATTTCAAAAAAAAAAATGTGTTTGTGTTTAACTCGTTTGCTTAGTGATCCGAACATGAGTTGTTTGCAAATAAAGAGTTGTTTTAACAACCCTAATCATACATCTGTAGAATATTAATTATATTATTTATATTAAAATATTATGTAAATATAATTTAATATATTTTTATTTTTTTTAATTAATTATAAATTTTATAGCCTTATCAATTAAATTTTTTTTAAAGTAGCACTCTTCAATTATTCTGAGTTAGCAGAATGCGATCGGATAAGTCTTAATTGGTGTTCAGCTCATTTATAAATCGACCTTAAAAAAATTGTTTAGTTGGACTCTTAAACTTAGCGAACAAATACTGTTTGCAAACAACCAGCCGTTTGACGGTCATTTGTGGGAGAGAGAAAGGCCATGGGAGAAACGCAGCTGAAGACGATTATGATAACAGGGGTGAGTCGAGGATTAGGGCGGGTACTGGCCTTGGAGTTAGCTCGCCGTGGCCACATCGTAGTTGGCTGCGCCCGTTCGCAGGAGAAGCTTCAAGCCCTAATGACTGAGTTGACGCGGAATGAACCCGCTTCTTCTTCTTCCTCTTCCTCCAAGTACCTTCTCAAACATCTCGACGTGGTCAGTACACCATCCATTTTTTTAATCTTCAAATTAAACCTTTTCTCTTGCCTTCATTCTTCATGACCCAAGCTTTTTTTTAACCCCCAATTGTTCTTTTAAACCTTTTTTGTATTTTCTTGTAACAAATGATATTTTGTGCTCGAAAATTGTTAAATTTTTATTCATGCACGAAAAAATGACTCAATGACCAAAAGAAAAAACAAGAAGAAAAAGAAAAGGATTAGAAGAGACATTACGGAGCCTGCCACAATTGAAAGAATTCAACATGTTAGTAAGTTTATAGAAATTTGACACTTTATTTCTATTGGAGAAGATAATATTGCAAGTACACATCTTTAGCCGGACCTATAATAAATATAGTGGATAATACTTGATGTATGCCGGAAAATTCACGAAGTAAAGTGATTATTTAATGTCTTAGCATTGCATAAAAAACCCAATACACACACAAGTAATTGAAGCTATAGGTTGGGATACTATAAGTTTTTACGTGGAAAACTCAAAAAGTGAAAAAGATCATGTTGCCTAGCCCAATCAGAACCACTCACTATAAGTTAATGAATACACGCAAATGTTCTTGTCCCACATGAAGTAAAGTGTTACACAGTTCTCAGAAATATAATGGTTGTATGCTGAATGATTTATTACACAATGGTCAGGAGCAGTTGCAGTTGAGAGTAGTTGCCTGAAATTAGGTGCACCGTCTTAGAGATGTGTCGTTGCATGGTGTTCATTATGATGTACTCTTTCGTAAAATGTATTGACTCTAGGACATTGGTTTTTACTCTGCACAGTGCCTTGCTATTCCTCAACATATGTCGCAGAGTAAGGAGAAGTTTCGTTGCATCGAGCAGGGGGTAGTTGAAAGTGACCGACGAGTGGTGGTCAGCGACTGCGAGAGCACCAAGCGTTCTCGTGGTCGTCGGTCCATAATGACACTGAAATTTAGCTCATTTTTTTACGAACCAGCTTCAAGTGCAGCTCTTCTTTCGGTTCAAGGCCTAGGTCCTTTTTCATGAGGGGGGTAGGACTCTATTTATAGTTTGTGAGTGTCTACTTGCAAATAAGAAAAGAATATAAACCACTTCATCAGACAATCCAAAGAGACTCCCACGATCGGACATCATTTTGTTGATTTTTAAGTTCTTTAACAATGTTAGAATTTTTTAATTATCAATTTGACAATCTTGGGTTTGTTAGACTTGTCTTGTCAAGATGCTTGATTTGACTATAAGCTTGTCAACTTTGGAATCTATTTGACCTTCCAATTAGTCATCCAAAGTTTTTAAAAATAGTTTAACGGTTTGATCCGAGCTTGATTTGACTTGGATTGGGCCAATTTTGACATCATTGGGGGTTCGTCTTGTCGAGCTGGTCAGTTTGGCAATAAGCTTGCTAAAATCAGAGTTTTGGATGTTTTTTAATTTGAGTTTGAATGTTTCTTGCTAAAAAAATGCCTCGAGATTTGTGTCATATAATAAAATTTTTTGACGGCGTATCAATACTAAAGAAGCAATGAAGAGTGCTAATGTTAATTGAAAACTTGAATGTTGTTAGCATATGTCAATTTCATCGATGGATAGTGGTGGTTATGAGATTTATTTAATGGCGGTGGTCAGATGATGATAGATAGTAACAATCTGACGTTGACAATAGGACTGTGGTGGTTAGTCAATGGCATTAGACTGCAACATTTATGTGATTACAGTTGAGCAGCGATAGTTAGCATTATTCATTTTCGTATTTCTTAAATAAAGCCTTATAGTTCTTGAGATCTCAAATTTATATTCAATTTTTTGATTACCCTTTATGTGAAGAACATACTTGTTAATGTCTAAAGGTATAACATAATGATAAGGACCTTATTGAGCTATAGCATATGATGCACAACAATTAAAATATATCATAAAATGTTAAAAAGTATTAATAAAAATGCATATAAATTTGAATGATTATCAAATTGAAAGATAAAACATCATAATATTAATAAAAAATAAACTATTTCATAAATAAAGTGCTTAATGTCTCAATAGCTTAAAATTTAATATAATTTTCTTGATAAGCCTAAACCAAACATTCAAAGAATCATATTCATCTTCATAATTAAAAAGAGCCTCATTTTGTTCACCAGGATAATCATTCTCTCATAATCCTTTTTAAACCCTATAATTTATATGTTCAATTGCATTAATGTTAATTTCAGATGACAATTTCTTCTATTTGTTTTTAAATCTCTTTCAAATATTCTATTTTTTCATAAACATTAGCAGCATTTGCAATAACACTTCATGTCAAATTTTCCTTTCCAATAGTTATTTTATTATTTTTATCTTACTCATTATTCATTTTCTCTATTAACTACTCATTAGCTTCATTTGCATTATCTATAGATAGGGTTCAAAACGTCTAATATTTATATCTATGAATAAAGACCTTGTGTAATACTTCACATAAACTAAATTCTTTAGGCGATCATGATTATTTTTTTCTTCTTTTATTATGAAGTAAAAAAAAATGTTATTAAAATTATTAAATTTTCAAATTTCAATATCGATCAATAGACTTTTTTTTGGTACTTACATATTCAAATATACTCTAATTGTGCTCACATTTAGATAAACTACATGTTAGGATACGAATTCTAATAAAAAAACTTTCTAAAGTACGGAGTTCTTGACCATCTGCTAGGAATTATTTAACTTAAAGCGTTTAATAAGTTTTATTACTATTACTTTTGGAAAGCTCTCATATTTAAGTGTGTTGAAAGGAATGCCAACATCATGCATCAAACAACAAAATACTCGAACCATTTTTTCTCTCCTTTTAAATAGCATCAATATCTTTAACATTTTACTTTTTTTGTTACTTAACCACCTCAATAGTATTTTGGATAAATAACGTATCTAATTGTCCTGTAGTCTTTGAATCCTTGAGCATAAATGTCATTGAATTTTAAATAGAGACATTTGATTTTGATGTATCATATATTTTTATGATTAGACTATTTAGGACGTAGAATATCATCACCTGTTATCACATTAAAATCATCCATTTTATCAATATTATCATGTGGTTTTTAGTTAATTTGGTTTTTCAACTTCTTCAAAGACTCTTTAATTTCATTTTTTATTTTTCGAGGACAAGTATTTTAAGCTTATACATTTCTGGAACCCCCAACGAAGATTTTCGTGGCAATTTTTTTCTCTTTTATATTTTCATCACAAAAAATAACACAATTTTTACCACTCTTCCTTCAAGATTTCATATTTCCATGCGAGTTTTTTCCTTTGATTATTGACTCCATTGTTCTCAGGTATCTTATTACAATACCTTTATAATTTACACAAAAAGATGATAAATATTGATATCCTATTATATCAAAGAGAATCGTAGCGCTCCATTTTGAATTAATATCATAATGATATGAAAATTTAAAAATAAAAATTCAGGGACAGAGCTATAAAACTCAATTTCATATAAAATATAACTGAAATTTTATTAAAAGAATGTCAATAAATTTAATTCTGATTAAATGAAAATTCCTTTCCATTTCATGCAAATGAAGCACATGAGGTAGTGGACATGGTTGGATGCGAAATTGCAATTTAATACATGTGATTGTGGATATAATAAATAACAAAAAGAAAGCTAATGTTTTTTCTATCGACTTCAGCTAATTAGCTTGATTCAAAGAAAAGAGAAGTCAAGTTATCAATAATAATCTCATTTTTAAGGGGAAAATGTTTTATTTGAAATTTCTCTTACTAAGTTTTAAAAATTAAACTCATTTAGTTTTAATTTACTCATTGTGTTTTCCACCAGAACATATGAATTTCATTATGTCAATGATAAAATATCACAATCATTAGTCAATTTGGTTGAAGTCCTTTACTCAATGTGAAGATCAATAATAAATAAAAAGCTTATTCAAGCAAATCTTAATTCTTTGAGCAGATGTTTGAACTTTGGATAGAACATGTTGAGAAGATACTTCGAATACGAGGGTTGAACTATGGCTAAGTCAACTTATTGTGGCTGTCCCTTGAGAGTAGATCTTGTTGGTTTTGCCGAGTCGAATCAGCTTGAACTGAGATAACTGGGGTGCTGCATGGGTAAGAGCTAGCGGCATTGAGATGCCATGAGAGCGATAGTTGGACCAAATTATGCGTGTGTATGGGTGCGTGCGTGTGCATTTGTGCGCGTGCATGCGCGCGTGTGTGCTTGTGTGTCGTTTGATTCATTTAATAATGCCATGAAGTTTTCAATTATATTATAAGTACTTGATTTGGGTTCACTTAGACTCATATAAAAATAAATTGTCCCTGGGCTTGTCGCATCAAAATATTCATTTCAACTGTAAACTTGCTAATCCAAGTTTAATGTCATGAATTTAATTTAGGAAGTTTTTCAATTTATGTATTATGTTGAGATTTATGTTAGATTGGATGGATTTGTTGGTCCTGTATTGAATATTAACTTTTCATCGAATTTAGATACACAATTTTATGTGGTTAAATTTGTTTACTGAGAGCATTTCTATATTTTATAGGATTTTTAACACTGTCTTTGAAAGTGCTCTCTTAGCAGAAATTATTGAGTTACCATATCGTTTTCATGTTTGTACTTTGAGGTGCTAGTTCCTTTTTAGGTTATTATGAAAGCACCCATTTCTATTTCCTGTTTGTTCACTGTTGTTATGTGCTCAATCCTAGGGAAATTTCCTTTTTTATTATTCTCACTTCATTTTCTCCCTCCCTTAGATTTTCTTCATGAATGTTGGGGGCATGATATATTAAAACAAGTGAAACCATTAAATTTAGTTCCATGTGATGTGACACCGAATGCTAATTATGTGGCAAATGACAACTACAATAGCACAAGCCAAAAAGTTTAACAAAAGCATGAAGATTCAATCACTATGAACAAAATGAAGATTGCAAACTTCTTGATTATTTTGTGTAGAATCATGCATCAATATTGTGTAATTATGTTGTTAATGTGGTGTACTTATGTTGTTTTTTGGGGATATGTGAAAAATGGGAAAGAAATTTATTTACTTTCATTTAATTAAGTGCAAATTAAACTTTTTTTTCTGTGTGGGCTGGCCACCCATTGGATGCATTAGTACCAGATAGTTATAACTACCTAATTCTTCCAAATTTATTTGGCAAGCCCCAATGCGCTCCCTCCCTTTGTGTGAGTGTTTAGGAGTGTTTTATTTATATAATGTTTTATTTGCTGGAAATAAACCTGTTTTGTGGCTGTTGAATGGAAATTGGAGTGAAAATTTCAAGTATTGAGAAGTTTGGTATGTTCTTTATTTGCGGTGTTCATCTTTGTTTCTCCCTTTACACTAAAATTAAAATCTTCAAAAATATCTCCATAAATTACCTTCCTAAACTCTTATCTGGATGTCAACCAACCCTTTGCTGGAGACAGACCTAGTCTACTTTTGTACCTGTTTGCTTACCTTAAACCCCTAAAAAAATATGAATATCTTCTGAAATGTTATTAGGACATTTCTTTATCATGTACAAGTGTTTTCGTTGTGTTTTTTATGCTTTATATTAGCTCATCATATTTCTAAATTTAATCTTACTCCATTCGAACAGGTTAGGATTTCTGGGCACTTAGTCTCATTATAAAATAACAAGATAATATCTTTAAATTTTCAGAAAATTTGAAATTTTCTATATCACTACTAGACTTAAGTCCCTTTTCCCCTTGGTTTCAATGCTCGGAGTTATCCCAATTACCCACCCCGTTCTTTTGAAGCTTAACTATTTGTTCTCAGTTTGGGCTTTTCAAGTGCCCACATTGGCCGCTTTGGTGCTTCAAATTAATCTCCAACCCAAATATAACCCTATGGCATTCCTTGACCACTTATACAAGTTTTTTATACATTTATGGCCACTCAAGTATTCCAAATTCAGGCAACACCACCATTTTATCAAGACATATGAGAGCATGGAGTTAATCTCATGTTGTTAAGGCAAATGAGAATATTTAATTTACCACCATTTCAGATATGTGGAAGTATGTTATAAAAATATCAAGTGTTCACTTCATGTACTAGTTCTATGCTTGTGGGTTTAAAATGGATTAGAGTAATGTCGTAGCAGGCCTAATTTTATTCCCTTTTAATTCACCCTTCCTAGCAAGTTAAATTTATTTAATACATCTTCGTTAAATGGGTCTTCTAATAACTCTTTAAATGAGTAATAGTTGCCATGAGATCATCATAACACTTCTTGTCACATTGAATCTCTTTCTTGTTGTACTTTCTCGTGATTGTTTGTTGAGCTGTAGCCTTGCCCCCATCACCATCACAACAAACTTCTATCACGTAGAATCTCTAAGCCAAACTAGTTTTTTCTTCTCTTGCTAAGTTTGTATTTGGTTTCTCTAGCTTGTTGCTTCTATGTCGAATATTAATAAATGGATTGAGGCAGCCCAAATAAGGTCCTTCATTTTACTTATCCTTTTCTCTATGTTTTGTCTTAATTTTTTTATATATATAATGCATGACGCCGACTACACTTAGTTGGATAAAGGCTTGTTGTTGTTATTTTGTATATAATGCATGACGCCAACTACACTTAGTTGGATAAAGGCTTGTTGTTGTTATTTTATATAATGCATGATGCCTTTCCAACCAACTTATTCAGTGATTCATCCCTTTTAAGGATTAACTTCAAATTATGCATGTATATTATTTAATCAAACTGTTTGGGTTGTTCAAGTGTCTTGTTATGTGATGCTGTGTTCGAGACGATATAGTGGGCTTTCTATAGCTGTCTTGATGCTTCATGCATCAACCTAGAATCAAGAAAAAGTTATTTTGAGACTGGGCAAAATTTTAAATAATTGAATATAATAATAAAACCTGAATGATTTAATTACATAAAATTATTATTCTTAAAAAACAAAAGGAAATATCACTATATTTATTGGAAGAAAATATAAATGCATAAAAATGTAAAAACTATAAATTTTTTATTCAAATAATTAGCTAATTCATTGAAAAATTTAATTAAGTTAGAATTTTAATGGGAAATGGGCAAAGTTGAAAACTGAAAGTGGGCAAATTTATAAAATAGTATATTCTTAATAGAAAAATAAAGATAAAATTGAGGGTGGGCAACTGCACCCCCTTGGGGCCACCCTTGGGCATAAAGTAGTTCTGCCATTCTTAGAATGCATGTAAACATCTATTTTAATGGATCAAAATTTTGTGGTTTGTAATGCTGTACTGCTTATCATGAATGGCACTTCAAAAATACTGGTTTAAAGAATTCATTTTGTGGTGTTGTAGAGATCTGACAGCAACATGAAGGAGTTCGCTAAGCTTCTTGTGGAAGAAAGAAAGATACCAGATATTATCGGTTTGTCAAATATTATGTATTTGATCATTTCGGTTCAGAGTTTACATTGTTTTGGTTTCTTTTTATTCATACTTGTTAAGCATGTTCAAAGATGCTGTTAATTCTGACATTTGAGGGGAAAATGAATATTAGTGATCTTGATTTTGTTGTTTGATTGAAAGAGTAAACCATACATTCTGAATAATGAATTGCAGAAAATGTTTTTTTTGTTTAATTTCTTAAATTATGGTAAAATTTTTTAAATTTGAATTAGTATTCATATTAGGTGTGATGCGTGTGTTATAGAAGTCAAGTTTGATGGTTGCTTACCATGTAGGTACATGCATTGCACTTTTAACAAACACACATTATTTGCAGCATATTTATGAAGTCAAATTAGATAAAATTTAAATTTGGAATACTACAAGACTTTCTTGAATTTTCAATTCATAATATCTGACATAATGCATTGTGTTGTTTTATAGGCTTGTCTTTTCTTTTGGCTAATTTCTTAATGTTCCCATAGGAAATGTCTTTCCATTCATTTATACCATTACTTTAATATCTGGTTTGAATTCCACATGCCTCTTATTCATTTCAACAATTGAGTTTAACTACCATAATTAATAGTTAGTTTTTTGCTGATCTCTTCATGTAAATCAAACAAATTATACAAATCATATAAATGATTTGAAACAAGCAATTAAAATATTAGCATGTCAATTACCAACATGTTTATTCCTACTTGATTAGATGATGAACTTGAGAACATACAAATCACATACATATGAATTTCTTCCATGGATGAACAACAAACTTAGACAAAAATAACCCAAATGACTTCAATGTTAATAGTGATGATTTATGCACTTCAAGATTTGATCAAATTTAAAAATTCATTTTGTTATATATATATATATGTATTAAAAGTTTTATTGATATATTAATGCAATGTTAAGACTTTTGCTCTTAAGTTGTATGCTAAGAAATCAAGATAAAAAATTAAAATCAGTATTCATTTGATTAAAGATATTCCATTTAAGTGGTTAAATGAGTAAAGTATCAAAATAGTCCCCTGACTATTTAGATGAAGCCATTTTAGTTTCAAAGTTTATAAAAATGCAAAATTAGTCATTAGACTGTTTTAATGGGGGAACAAATTAGTGCTTAGTGAGGACTATTTCAACCCATATCAAAAGAGTCTGGGGCTCAATTGACACTTTTATAAACTCGAGGACTAAAATGGCTCCCTTCAAAAAGTTAGGGGGCCATATTCTTGTTAAATAAGCTGGCTTAATTTATTTATTAAATTTTAGTATACAGTAGTTATTTCGGGTGCATTATTTTTGGCTGTGGCTGTATGAAATCTAATTTCAAAAATTGCTGTATAAAATTAGCCGTTTAAAAGTTGATGTTTCAGAAGCAGATAATTTATTTTAAAAATTCAATTTTGAAAGTGCTGCCTGCGAATAAATATCTGAAATACCCCTGCTCATATTATACAAAAAAGACTTAAAACGAAGTAATATTATATTATTTTTTTAGTGGCAGTTAATATAATTTTTAATATAAACTTTGAAAAAATAAATATTATTGATTATTAATGTTATATTTTGTTTTTAAGTTAGAGGTTCATTTGGGGAGCTATTTAGCTATTTTATTATTTAAAAATTATCACTTTCTATTTGATTATATTTTTTATTACTTTTTAAAATTGCCATAATAAGTTATTTATTTCAACAAAGGAGTGAAAACGTAGTATTTATAAAAAAAAATATCTAATTTTCTTAAAAGAAAAAAGTTATGGTACAAAAAATTGCATTTTAAAAGATTCTTATAAAAATATTTTGCCTCTAAGCTGATTATTGAACTTTATTTTAACATTTCTTCTAGTGGATAAAACAGATTGATGAACCTCAAAATATTACATTAATTAAAAATCCCGCATGGGTAAAACAAGGAAGCACGGGGCTCGGATGTGGAACATGGACAGCTAGCAGTGGTCGCGACGGAGAAGAACGTAACTCCGTAGGTTGTAACACGATCGGTGGGACACGCGATTCAAACACGTGATTCAGGCACTCGGTTCCAAAAGCAGGCCGAAAAGCTGAAACAAACACAGCCTTAATTTCACATTGAGGATTTATTTTTTTGAGTTATATCCGCTTTTATGACTGTGAATAGATTTAGGGTCTTTTAGAAGCTCTCATTTATAATTTTAAGTTTTTTATTTGTAGTTCAGGTTCATGAAGTAAATTTTTAATTATACCTTACATTTTAAATGCAATTTAGACACATATTCAATTTTTTGCACTTTTAATTTCAAGTTCTGTTTCTAATGGCTGTTTAGATTTAACCATAGACATAATTTTGATTTTGCCCTTTAAGTCTTGTTCAACCTTAGACTTATGAATATATGCTAATGAATGTGCAGATTTAGACTCCACAATTTTTGAATAACCTAATAGTAATTGTATATATTGATCTAATTCATCTTCAGTTGATGAACAACATATTATTCATATGTATATATCCCTTGCCAATCCATGTTGATTTCGTTTTATTTAGAACACTATGCCAATAAGTTTGAGTTTGTTAGGCTAACTTCTTTTCAACAATTTTAAAAATTTTAGAATAAAATAAACAATATTCTTTAAAAATTCTTCTAAATCATCAATTCATCTTGAATATATTTGTAGGTTCTCTCATGCATGTAATTTTGATCCTCTTGAATGCTATATTGCATTCATTTAAAGCTTTGCCAACCACATTTTTTGCTTAGATTGCTTTTTTTATTTTTTATTAACTTTTGGTTGTCTCTTGTATTATTATCCATTTAGTTGACATGATGGAATCGTCTACTTGAATGCCAATTTAACGTTCGGTTAAGTTTGTGAGGTTACAATTATAACCGGGAATGAGATGCACAATAAATACACAAAAAAATCACAATTTGCATATCACCAACATTTAATTTTTGCATAAATTAATCAATTTAACTTGAGAAAGAACGAACTTTTTTTTTTCAATCTCAAATGATAATTTAATACTTGCCAAATTATGAAAAACCATTTTTACTATTAATCAGTTCTAGCTAAAATCTATTGGTTTGATATAAAGACAACAAACACATTTACTTTATCACAAATGATAATTTAATAGATGCCAAAACCTGAAATTTTACAAGGCAAAAATCAAACAAATATAAAATTTCAAGGGTCCATTAGACTTTTTGGAACGTAGCAATCCATGCTAAACAATAGTACTGTATGAATAGCTGGCTGCTGAACCTAGGCATGTTTCTTTTTTGTGCCATTTACATATATACCACACAATTTCTTATGTATTTACATATCTAACACCTAAACATTCACATTTACATGCATGCCACTCAAATTTTAACATCACTTCAAAAATATCACCATCTCTATTCTCTTACAAGTGAAATACACCTTTTTATGCATAGATTTAGGACACCAAGGTGTCATAAGCATAAAAAATCAAACTTTTGGTGTTAGATCTATAAATACATAAGAATTGTGTGGTATTTATGTAAAATTTCCCAAAATTTTTTCTCCTTTATCTTTTGTGTGAGTGATGTGCTCAACACACATTTTATTTATGCATATGGATCGCCATCTTTGATTGAATGAGATCTACCTAAATCTCCTTATGACTGGGGAGGTTTCCTACAGTAAACAATGCAGGGACAATCAACAAAAACAATAAAATATGGGCTGTGCCAGCTGAAGAGTTTGATATGGTCATAGATACCAATATAAAAGGAACAGCCAATATACTTCGTCACTGCTTGCCACTATTAATAGAAAAGAAGCAAGGAATTGTCGTGAACATATCCTCTGGGTGGGGAAGATCAGCAGCTGCAGAGGTAATACGATATCAGTTTTCTTAAGAGAAGATTGCCAAAATGTTTCTGACTCTTTACAGGGGATTATGTTAATCCCAAAATTTATAAGTATCAATTTATTTAACAGACTCTTTTAATATGAGTTGAAATAGAATGTGGGTTCAAATCATACCTAATGAGAACAATTTTAATATTCACTAAAATAGTATGTGGACTAATTCAGTAGTTTTATTAACTTTGGAAATAACATGGCCCCATGTAAATAGTTAGGGGGCTATTTTGACACTACTCTTTTGCTTAAGCTGTGAATTTAAATTGGTCCTTATAGGTGGCTCCTTATTGTGCTTCAAAATGGGCAATAGAAGGCCTGTCGAAGTCCGTGGCGAAGGAATTACCTCCAGGTTTAGCAATTGTTGCACTGAACCCCGGGGTCGTAAATACAGACATGCTTGCCTCATGTTTTGGAAGCAATGCTGCCTTTTATCAGGCACCTGAATCATGGTATTAACCATTAATATCTTTTCATTTTTTACACATATAATTTTGCTTCATCGTTTATTTTTTGATACAAAGAGCTACTTCATGTCGTTGATTCTGTTTGAACGTGTATATTATGTTTGCAACCCTCTGTTCGTATAATTATTAATTTCTATGTCGGCTCATATATATATATATATATATATATATATATATATATATATA